TATTGTTCTATCATGCATGTGGAAATGAATAGCAGAACTGTATTTGATTTTGTGGCTTGGGAGAGGTGCAGCAACTCCCAAAACATTGTGAGAGGGCTGTTTCCCCCTCTCCCTCCCTGGATTTGGTTGGGCTGGACTTTCTAGTTGGTTGTATACTTGTAGCTGCAGTCTGCATGTGGAAATGAATAGCATAAACTTAATTGAGAAATTGTAGTGTGCATTGGGTTTACTAAAGCAAATTAGTATGAACTTTACGGTGCAGGGGTTTTATGATGTTGCATATGAAAGCAAACAAATATAGTTATATTATTCATAACAATATGCAGGAAGGGAAGAGCTATGGTGGAGAGGTTGTCTAGTTGAGTTTATTTGTTTGAGAGTATTAGATGTTGTTAAATAGAATTAAGGTGCCTATATTATGATAATCACTTTGTAAGTTGTAACCGGGACAATGAAAAGATACAAATTTCATACATGCTTTTTGTTAGTGATGTAATTAGTTGGAGGTACTTGAAGGTCAGTAATCAATGCATTAATTGTGGTTTAATTATGTGATTAGTTTTGCTTTTGCTTTGCTTCGGGACTTTAAGGTATTACTGTTAGCTAATCATATGTTTATAGTTGGTTCAAGTGTCATCTTGTATTATGTTTATAGTTGGTGCAAGTGCCCTCTTCAAGCAATATTTTTTACCTCATTTACCTGCTACCTGCTGCTTTATCTTCATTCGAATTATTTTGGCATAACCTGTTATGCAATATTTTTTTGGCATAACCTGTTACCTGCTGCTTCATCTTCATTCGAATTATTAGAAATATTCAAGTTGGATAGTTGAAGTGGATTAATATATCGAATGCTAACATTGTCCGTTGAAAGTAGGATTGATCTCTAAGGGAAATGGGGTCAGCAACTCCAATCGTGTTGAGATGGCTGGCTACTGCAGTTCTACCTTGCTGTAGCGGCATTGTTTTGGGTGTTAGAGAATTTCTCACTTCATTTTTATAGATTTGGGTGTTAAATGATATTGAAAATTGTTTTTTTTACCATAATGCTTTGGTAGCAAAGTGTAATTTGGTGCATGAATCTGTTGGGCATCCGCTGCTTTGCTGAATGAGAATCTGTTAGTAGATGATCCTCCTTATGGGCTGGAAATGTGTTTGCAGCTTGGATGGTCTCCTTATGGGCAACCGCTGCTTTGCTGAATGAGAATCTGTTAGTGGGAGTTTGAACACCTGAGTTGAACATTTCTTTAAATGCTCCATGATTGAACACATGGTAAATTTATTTCATTTCAATGTTGGTTTCAATTGTACAGGTGACTGCATTTTGCTATTCTGTATTTTGGTGTTTTTGGAGCTTTTTGGAGGAGTTGCATATTGTTATTTTATCTGCAGGTTGTTTTTATATACTGTTAGACTGTTAGTGGGAGTTTGAACACCTGTGTTTCATGCATATTCATATCCATTGAATTGTGTGGTATGTATGTAAACTTTCCCAAACATATTAGCTCAATTCTTATTGATGTTGGGGCTTTCTCTATTCACTTAAGTTAGTAACACTTGTTCCAGCTTTCTGGAACCAATATGCAGGTGAGGGTGGCGAGACTATCACAACCCATATGCTTCTCGGTATATGGCAGAGATGGATTCAGCAGGCCACAAAATACTTGCTTCCCTAGGCTTTGATGATGCCAAAGCCAGGGAGCTTGCAAAATATGTATGTCTCCATCCTTATACTTTGATATTTCCCTCATGATCTAAAAATTTAGGAAGATTTACGTGCATACCACTTAACTTCCATGTATTTACATATATAGCACCTAAACTTAAACTTACATACATAAAAAAATAGTTTATTTTTGATGTGATATGAAAGATTTGGTGGTATAAATGTAAGAAGTAAAGCTTGGGTGTTAGATATGTAAATACATAGGAATTGGGTGGTATGTCTGTGTAAATGCCCCACTTTCTTGAATTAATGCAGATTTTGTTGCTTTCAGGCAAACGATGAGGTTAGCTTGAGCTACAGGTAGCAAGAAAGATTTGCTCTGATTTATTTGTTGTATCTTTAAAGTTGATGTATTTGAACTTCATTCATTGTTCTTTTCATTTGCTACAAATTTTCCTTTCTTTCTGTATGATGGTGCAAGATTTTAATCGCTATTCTGTATTATTGTTCGTTTAAAAAATGTCTAAGTTAAATCTTTATTGTAGTGTTGGTTTCTGATGATGAAATTTTTGTGTTTATAACTTATATGAGAAAACAATCAATTTCAAATATAAAATTTTTGTCTTGGACATGTAAAATTGTAAATACATAAGAATTAAGTGGTACGAGTGAAAATTTAGAGAGAGAGAGAGATAATTTCAAACATTTCGAACATTACGAATTCGAACGATTCGAACGATTCGAACAATTCGAACAAAAACGAACCGAACACGAACAGACTCTTCACGAACAATTTCGAACACGAGCCTATTTCAAACAAACTATATTTCAAACGAACCGAACACGAACATGAGCACTGTTCGTTCGTGTTCGATTCGTTTACACCCCTAATCATGAGCGAACCAAATTTGCCTGACCTTCAACAGAGACTCCTCCAGACCACCATTGTTAGGCCACCACTGTCGTCGTTGCTACTATACCACTATCATCTGACCGATGCCACTATCGGGCCACAACTCTCGACCACCACCTTCATTGCTTTCGGGCCATCACCATCGACCCACTATTATCGATGATGTTGGAATTATATTTTCAAACAGTCCACCTCTACCATCGGTCTTCTTTCACAGCAGCCAGGTCACCACCACTTCCCTAACTTATTATGTCACTCTCATAGTAGAAGTCACGTTGATAACCCCCTACTTATGCAATACTACTTCCTGCTATTCAAGTGTTGGTAAAGTCTTGTAACCTACATCTACTTGGTGGAATCATTTCAATTATACTAGGTTCCATGTTTTTTACCATTTCAAGCTTTTCACGTAAAAACTCATATTTTTCTCTCTGTTAGGTGTTTATGTGCACGTGTTAGATCTTCATACAACACTGATATTTATAAATCACTCTGCCACCATGAATTTTCCAGCACATAATTATACCATTGCAAATTTACTACCAAAGATTTGTAAGATATTTATATAAAGTATGACATTAATATATCACTATGTCGTTTTGAATTTAACAGCACGTGACATCACTGAAATAAAACAAATTTGTATTTTTAACTAAAATTGGCCAAACTTATGTAAATACATAAGAATTGAGTGGCATCTATTTAAATCTTCCTTAGTAAATATTAATTCAGCTAAAAATTGAAAAACTTTTTAGTAGTGCTTAGAAGTACAGAGAATTTACGCAAATGTTTAGCTGAGTTGGGCCCTATATGTTTTAAATGGGCTTTAATGGTTAGCACATTTAATTCCCATTTAAGGCCTAATTAAGTTGTAAGGTTATTCTCTAAATCAAAGTTATGACTTAACAAGCCATGACTTGGTTCACATTTGACTCAAAAAAGGACATCTAAGTCAAAATTGAGCTAAACTTGACTGGACTCCTTAGCTAACTTTAAAAAAAAAAATAGTATAAAATACCCTTAGAAACATAAGAAATTAATGATTTAAATAAAAATTGTTATATAATGTAACAAAACTAGTTATCTATTTTCTCAACTTATTTCTTATTAGTCCTCAAATTTTTAATTTGTTTCATCATTTTACTTTTTACAATATCTCAGATTAATTCTAGATTCACTCTTTCAATCTTAATAAAAAAGCTAGTTTGAATCTTAATAATATCTCAGATTAACTATAGATTCACTCTTTCAATCTTATTCCTTATTAGTCCTCACATTTTTAACTCATTTCATCTTTTTACTTTTTACAATCTCTCATATTAACTTTAGATTCACTCTTTCGATCATAATAAAAAAGCTACTTTAAATCACAAATTTAATTCATTATGAATTCAGCTTTCAATTAAAGGATTTTATCAAATTCAAATTCAAAGGGTTTGTTTGAGGTAGTTGCAACTCTTCAAATGGTTGTGAAGTTGTTGTTGAAGAAGTTGTTGTTCAAAAACTTGGAGTGACCATTACAATTTTTTTTTTAATTTTCGGAAAGTCAGACCGTAACTTTCTGACAACCACTGTACTTAGGATATATTTGGAGCAACTGCAGTTATTTGAAGAAGCAGCTGTGAAATTGTTTAAGAAAAGCTATTGTTCAAAAAGCTACACAGGCTATTAATTTTTTTTTAAAATTAGACAGCAACTTTCTAACAGCTACCGCAGACAAGTAGGTTTGGTGGGAAAAATGTACCTTTTAGCTACAGCTTTTTAAAAATACAGGCAAATCACAGTTTTGCCAAACATAAAAACCGTAGTGTGGCACCAAACCGCTCCCTCAAATGCACCCTTAGCCAGGCCAGGTTGTAAAAAAGAAATTTTTCACCACAATTTTTCAAGAAAGCAGACAAAAATATGTTTCCCTAAATGCCCCAGTGGCGTACAACCACCCCAAACACACCCTACATCTCAAAAGTGAGTTGTATTCTACTTAGCTTGCTAATAACCCTAACATGAATGAGATATATTGTGCAATGTTTGAGAAAAAATAATTTCACAAAAAATGTGTCGGATTAAGAGAAATAAGAATTTTTATGCTTACAATAATGAAACTGTAATGGAGGTGAGAGTAAAGGCTAAGGCTGCAAAGACGGTGGAGCAGTTGTGACTCGAGGCAGATCATCGTGGCTAGCAACCTATAGTGGAGGAGGAGAACTCATAGGAAAAGGAGTAATTTTTCTCTTTTGTTGTTATTGATATATTCATTCTCTTAGATTTTGATATGTATTCACATTTATTATGTAAATATTCTTATATGGGGTGATTTCTTCATATTGATTGTATTGTTTATTATAGTTTTAATTATTGTAGATGTCTCTATGTGTTCTCTTATACTATTCTAAGATATTATAAATGTGTCTTTTTTTCTTTGTTTGATGAAGAATATATAAGGAATAAAGAATGAATTGTCTTATGATTTTAATGTATCTTGGGAAGGTCTGTGATCAAATATTTCACAAATTAGTATATTGTGTTGTAATGCATAAAAATATGTTGACATTGATGGAAGTAATAGAAGTACTTATGAAGGTACCTAAGAGAAATTTAATATCATAGATTTACATGAAAGATCAACATTGATCGATAAACACCTTTTCTTCTACTGATTATAGAAATGATGAGAAAGGACATTGGAATTGACATGTCTAGGTAGATACTTTTATAAATATATAATTCTAATAAATGATACCTTCACTATGATTAAAAAGGAAAAAAACTAAACTAAATTGCTTTGAAAGCTAGCTCTGAATTCCCATATTTGATCGTAGCTAGCTTTGAAACAAACTAAATTTAAAACTATCACACCAAATTGCTTTGAAAGCTACTACTTGCATGAATCAAAACATATAAATATTCAAAAGAAAGAAACTTTTTCCTCACCCACACTATCCTTCTATCTCAAACTCTAGTTAATGATGGAGGATGAACCATCCCAAACTGAAAGACAATTATTAAGAAAAATAAGTATGACTTTTCCTCTTCTTTTTGACAGTATATATATGTATATAAACATGTACTTTATATACACTCCAAGCTTATGAAGATGTATAGTTTATATATAAATGACATGCAAGACAGCTATTTGTCTGCCCGACACATACTTTGGTATCAGAAAGTAAACAACAACATACTAAAACCTTGTGGTTAAGAACTGAATCTGCTTAAGAAGAGGGCTCAAAGCCTCCATTAATTTCTCGCATGGATGGTTGTGAACACCTTCATATGTTGTTACCACAATACTCGTATCCTTTGACAGCCTCTGAACTTGTTTTTTAACGTTGCAAGTGTGATGTGTGCACCGATAATAGCTCCTTCATCAACAAAAATCAGCGTTATAGAATGACTTTCAAACTACTTCAATTAGCTGATCTACTGTAATTGTATTTGCATGATATTTTGGATTAGTTTTGTCATTCTTGGCTTTAAAAGTCTTTATTGTTTATTTTTTTCTTATTTTTCAAGCTAGTAAACATATATTAATTAGATATTATTCTTATATTAATTAGATATTATTTTTAAATTATGTTTCTTTTATTTATTATAACATATCTTATAAATAATAGAGAAAATAATAGGAATCAAATTTGATTATATTTATCCCAAAATAAATCTAATGGCAAAAGATTTATTCTGGTCAAATTTAAGTTGCAATATATTAATTTTATTTTTCTAAGTAAATTTAATAAAAATATGTAAATGAATGAGTCTGACAAATTGTAAATTTTAACTAATTAATGTTTTGATGCTTTATTTATTTGTGATTTCTTCCTCATTGTAAATAGAATATCATATATATTTTTTATAGTATTCATTTAGTATAATTATTGCACAAGTTTAATATTTAAGTGTCATTTTTAAGAAGATTTATTTTACATTTATGGACTTAGTATGAAGTAATATTTATTATTTTATTCAGGGATAAAATTCAAAGAAAAAAATAGTAATAGATGACGTCAAGCATGCATGACCTTAAAGCAAAAAAGAAATAAATAAAGATATTTCTAGTTGAACTAAACATGAGATATATAATATATTATTTTTAGCATGCAAAACAAATTCTCACTAGCTAGCCATCATATTATTTTTCATCGCATTGCAAAAATAAGTAGATATTTTTATATTAATTATTCAGTAAAAATAAATATTTCTAAAAATACAAATTTAATAT